GTCCATTATCATCATGGCGAGAAGTATGGCAGCATGCAGGCAGACCTGATGCTGGAGAAGAAGCTGAGAGTTCTACTTCTTGATCCACAGGCAGCAGAAGGAGACTGTGTGCCACACTGAGCATAGCTTGAGCATATGAGACCTCAAAGCCTACCCCCACAGTGACACACTTTTTCCATCAAGGCCACACCTCCTAATAGTGCTACTCCCTATGGGCCAAGCATGCAAACACATGAATCTGTGGGGGCCATACCTATTCAAATCACCACAGCAACTAAACATGACAAAAATAAAATATAAATTGAATCAAAAACCATCACATCAAGGCCAGACAAGACAACCCAACAGAAGGAAAAGAACCCCTAAGAACAGGCACAAGAATCAGAGACCCACCTGAGGAGTCCAATAAAAATCCTAAGCTGAAAGCTACATACACAGAGGACCTGGTATACACCTGTGTAGGTCCTGTGCTTGCTGCATCAAGTCTATCTTAATATGAGTCCTGCTTATTTGGTTTAGAGTACCTTGTTCTCATGGTGTCCTCCATCCCCTCTGTCTCCTACACTCTCCTTGCCTCCTTTTCCACAGGGTTCCCCGAGTTCCAAGGGAGGAGGATTGGATGGAGCTGTTTCATTAAGACTCTCTCCCACAATTTCTGGGCAGTTGGTATCTGCATCTGTTCCCATCTGCTGCCTAAGGAAGATTCTGATGGTGACTGAATAAGGCACTGATCTATATGTATACCAGAATACTCATCTGGAGTCATTTTATTGGACTTTTTTTTTAATCGATCAGTAGTGTTTGGTTTTATCCTAGGTCTCTGGGCTGTCTAGATTCTGGTTCTTGGTTATCCAAGCAGTGTCGGGCATGGGTTCCATCTCATGGAGTGAGCCTAAGTCAAATCAGACATTATTGGCCACTCCTACAAGTTCTCTGCCACCATTGCCCTAGCATATCTTACAGGAAGAACAGATTGTAGGCCAAAGATTTTGTGGCAGGGTTGGTGTTTATGTTTCTCCTTTGGTAGCCTGCAGAGTATTCCCACACTAAGAGACTAGAACTTAGGGGTGAAGGCTCCATGTAAAATATTCCTTAGGATACTTGGTCACAGACATAATATTTTATAAATTTAATCTCAGAGCTTTTTTTTTTTTCACAAGTCCTGATAAACTTCTCCATGGACCTAGATGAGACTATGATGAGACTTTTTTAATTACCTGAATGAATGAATTAGCAACTTGATTTACTAAGACTCAACCACAACATAAAGCCAGACCCGTTAAATTTCTGTTGGAGAATGTAGCTGTGCTAAGTAGAAGTCTACAAAATGACATAGTAAGAAAATTTCTATACTAGGTGTAATGGATATCCTTAGTTGTCAACTTCACACGTCTAGGAAGAAGAAACCACAGTTGGGGGGTTGCCTCCATCCAACTGCCATGTGTTTGTGTCTGTGAAGTGTTTTCTTAAGAGCCAGTTGCTGTAGTGGGGGCCTAGTCCATTGTGAGAAGCGACAGCCCTAGCTAGGGGACCTGGGCCATATTAGAAAGGTAGCTGAGGAAGCCAGAAGAAACCAGGAATCAGCAGTACTTCTCTGTGGTCTGTGTTTGAGCTTCTGCTTTCTGCTTCCTATCTTGCCTTCTCTTTATGATGGACTATAACTTGTAAGCCAAAGAAACCCCTTCCTCTCCAAAATTAGTTTTGGACAGTTTTTGTCATAGCAAGAGAGAACTGTGACTGGTACACAGGTCCCCATCTTTATTGTTGTTCATAATAGCTTCACTCCATATGGCTATGAAATTACCCATTGTGCACCCATTTCTGTCTTTCAAGCCATAATAGAGAAACTAGATGTAACTAACATCTCACGGTTGTATTTGTTCCTTATATGACAGCTTGAGTCATGTGATTCTCTTTAGAATATGTGAAAAAATTAACACGGGAGCCAGAGAAATGGCTCAGCATTTAAGAACACTTGCTACTTTCCAGAAATCCTGAGTTTGGTTCCCAGAACCAAACCTGGATCTGTGACTCCAGATCCAGGACAGGTACTTTGCCTTCGTGTACACATACACACATGCAGACACATACACCTATACATAATTAAAATAATAAAAACGTAAGGAAATGCCTACTTTATGTCAGATACTTGGTTTATTTTGTTATATGCCCATGACAGTAAGCACTGTAAATAATTCTATAGGGTAGGTAGCATGATCACCATTTTAAATACAGGAAATACATAGCTGGCCTGAGATATAATTGTTGGGTGGCAAATTCTAAGCACTTAATCATCAGCCTGATAACTTTGTTGCTGCCCAGAACTCCATAAGCCTCAGCCAGGGATCAGTGATCACAGAAGTCACTGTTTTTATACTGTCACCACTTCATAAGTGACCTCAACCTTGTAACTATTATTTGGCACTGGCTTCAGTGGGACTAAAATTTATGACTATAGATAGACCAGAGAGAAACTTTCCAATTACAGAGAGAATCTATTAGCTGTAACATCTTATCTGTCCAGTAAAAACGGTCTGCCCTATCTCTGTTTCTTTCCCTGGTGATGTTGCCATAACAGAGTCTTCAGGATTAACAAGTAACTAACTTATTTACTTAAGGGGCTGATAAATTACTCTAGTCTGTTAATAATTATCTGTGTGTTTCATGTAGCTCTGTATAATCTAAGGCAATCTTACATACCTCACATTGTAGATTGGGTCAGTATTTCTTTGATCTTCTTTTATGTTACATCACCATTAACATGAAGCAAATCACATAAATAAAAACGTAAATATTTAATATAATTTACCAGTGCATTTCACAAGTGGTGTATACTAATGAGTCTGAACTCTTAGTCAACATTACCTATATATAAATTTTCACTCCGCAATATAAAAGAATAAATGTATCATACACTTTCTTGTTCAAAATGTACAAGCTCTCTCAGAAATACCTTGAGCTATATTATGTTTGTATCTGTATTTGCACCATTCCTACATATGTTTAGAGCTTTGAAATGGTTAGCACTGTGGGGATGTGTCCTACTCTATCTTTTAACACATGGTGGTGATAAATGCATCACCTTGCACACAGTAGATGCTCATTGAATGTTGCTGGCTTAGTGAATAAATTAGTCTGTACTAGATACAACAGATTTTCAGTCCTGAGTTGTTCTTGCCATCATTTCACTCTGCATAATTTAAAAAGTTTGACTAAGATGATTAAAAATGTGTTACTGAATTACTGTGTGGATCCTAGAGTAATGGGATGAAAAAGACCCTGTGTACCCCTATGAGGAGGCAGAGTGTGTTCTCTCTGTAGGCACACCTAGTGGATTTTATGTGTGATTGAATTAATTTATTTCTCAAAGAAAGTTAGATTTATGATTTCCATATGGCACTTTACAATTTTTCTTTTACCTCTACCTTACCAATTAATATTTTACTAGTATGAAAGTAATATTCATTGCTGGTAATTAGCTCTCTGTGAGTCTAAGCGGAACAAAATTTAAAGAGTTGATATCTAATATCTTGGTATTTATATTTATTTATTCCATTTTTTTAAATCTTCAGTGTCATACGTCCCATGCAATCGACATTATACATGCTTATATAACTTACTGTTATATTATACATTTGAAGATTTCCATAAAATTTAAAATGTTTAAGGTTCATTGTGAGTTGCAGAGAAATATTAATATATATGGATGTGATATACCTTACTTATTTTCTTTTGTCAGACATTCAAATTTCTTATAATTTTCATATGTTTCCAGTAACATATACTTTTATGTTTTGTTTACTTACCTACTTATGTGTGTTTGTGTGTAGGTTGGAACTTGAGCCAAGGCAAATGTGTAGGTCAGAGGACAACCTAAGAGGTCAGTTCCTTCCTTCCACCATATGGACCCCAAGGGTCAAATTCTGGTCCTTAGAATTGGCAACAAATGCCTTTACTTACTGAGCCATTTCACCAGCCCTAAAATTATGTTTTAATGTTGATTTCTATTTGTTTTCTATAATGTGAGCAGATGCCTAGAACTAAACCTAGTGCGCAAAAATTTCAAACTTTGAGTTTTAGATACCTATATACAGTGACTTTCAGAAGCTTCTTGGCAATGCATACTCACCAGTTTTATGTATTTTATTGAGCCATCATAAAAAGCATTACCTATGCACACATTTGAGCAAGGTTTCCTGACCTTTATATGTTGTTTTTATCAGCTATGCTGAGACTTATATAAATTACATACTTTATTTTATATCAGAAAGAATCATGAAACTCTTAGTTTGGAGAATTTCACTTGTAGCCCTTTTGTTGCAATGATCTTCCACCTAAACTCAGTGTTTTTCAAGTGTGATTATCAGTTGCATGTTTAAGCTAGACGTTGACAGTTCTGTTAGTACCTGATTCACTGGTAGGTAGAGCAGTGTGTTGGGCTGAGGCATTATGCAGTATGCCATGTGCTGGGAGCAGTCCTGATAGACTCAGACTGGAATTGCTGTGTTGTAACAAAGTACAGGAGCATTCAAAGTTTTCTTTATTTCTGCTTTTTTCCCCTGTGGACTGCTCCATGGAAGCACTTTGCTTCCTCGCCAGTGTTCTAGCAGTGTGAGTGCAGATGAACTGGAGGAGTTTCGTTTCAGAGAGCAGCAGTCATGTTTGTATTAGCAAGGCATTAGTCCTGGAAGAACACCAAGAAAAAAATCATTTTTAACTGTTTTCCTCATCCTCTAGTGAGAACATTTGCATTGTAGGGGCCATGGTGTGTCTCAGTCCCTCAATGGCACAGCGGAGGTGCTCTGTGCATACATTCACATGTATGAGTTTATGGTGATCTGAATGAAATACCTGTGGGAAGATATACATATAACCTACTCTACCTTCTTTATGCACTGCAGTCTTTCCTACTTTTCTGTAGAAGTTGTATCAGTATATATTCTAGTTTTGGTTCAGTAAATTAATTTTTACTTAGATGACTTCTTTGTTTTACATTTCAGAGTACCTGATATATTACAAGTCTGTTTGTGCCTCGTAACTGCGCAGGTATGTATATGAACTACCTATGGGTATGTAAATGTATGTATTAACTTTTGAGTTACCACATTTTCTGTATTTAAATTGTTTATAGAAGTCATAATATACAAATGTTAAATTTTTCATCACTTGTCTTATAGATATTGGCAGTTTCAGAGAACTGTACTTTGTACATACGTTGCATTGCAGTTCACAGTAAGAATCAGGTACACATTTCTAAGATTTGATGAGGCAGAATAATTTTAATTGCAAAGCATTCATCTGGTGAAGATTACAGAGTATTTTTTAGAACTGTACTGTTAAAAGGACTGACAGAGTGAGGTCAGATCATTGAAGAGCCAGTCTTTGACATCTTGTTTTTATTTCCAAGCTTTATTATTTTTAATTTATTTTTTGTAGAGGTTGCTTTAGGTAAGGAGTGGCTGCAGACCCACTTTCTTCTGCACTGTCTCAAGCTCCAGATAAACGGGGAGGGGTGGGAATATTTGCACCTGTTTAAAATTTCAGCCATGCTGTGTTGTGGTTCCTGGGCAACAGGCAGGAATTCTGAAAAGCTTGGTTGCACCTGCTCAATTGGTGCTCACAGCTGTGTCATATGAGCGGGAAGCACAGAGAAGCTTGTTAGCAGTTTGCCTGTGCTGTTGTCTATTTGTGTTTTGTGTACTCTTGAGTTGGAGAGATAAGAGATGTAGATCTTGGACTGTTACATTGGACCATTATAAAACTCACTGATGATCATGTCCAAATACTTTTGCTTAATTCTTTGTTTTCTGTCTCGAATATTTTTGGTATTTCCTGACTGCCTTAGATATACTGTATGTGCTGTGTACCTCAGAGAGTGTATCTCTTGAGAAAACTGGGTTGATCATTTTTGTCCTAGGAGAGAGATTTTGTGTTTGGCTTGATTTTACCATGTTGGCAGCCCCACTATGTGGGCCTGGATGTAGTTATTGATCCATTTAGCTGAACAGATTTGAAAGCATTTGGCTATTAGTGGACACATGGGACACATTCAGAAAACACAAGTGTATATTGTAAGAAGATTTTACTTGTGTGTGAGTCTCTCCTGCAGTTGGGGTTGAAGTGGTGGGGGAAAGTGAAAATGAAGTAGTAAATTCTAGAAGAGCAGCTAACATACACATGAAGTTTTAAGGCTGCTACATAATCATTTAATCAAATCTTGCTCTTTGGTGTTTTTCCAGAGTTATTGGTAGTGGTATTAATTTTCTTTTGTTAATGGTTTTATTTATGTTCTGACAAATTAGTATGTAGTTAAGAGATTTTAACTGTTATTGAATTTATCTTAGTTATAGTTCTATACCTATAAGTGAAATACAAATGCAGCTATAATTTTATATGAAGGCATTTAATTAATTTATTCACTTGTCCCAGATTCCTGATACTAAAAACTAATTCATATAGTTTGTATTATTCTCCTTAACATATTAGAAATGCTAGGGATTTTCCATGAGAATTTAGTAACACAAATTTTAAGTCTTAGAGCTGCTGTACTTTCCCTTCTATTAGCATACATGGAATCTGGTTTATAAATAATAAGTCATTATAATGTGGCCTGAGCTAAGCTCATAGGAAGTAGAATACACACAAAGGAGATGGAAGCGTGCCTGTGTCTCCTTAACACAGTGCCTTGTACAGAGTACTCAGTCAGTGCCTGTTGAAAGACTGCGTAGAGAAGGAAACATGCCTAGCAGTGTATTAGAAAGAGAGGGACTGTGCCACAGAGAATCATGGCCCAAATATATTTTGGATGAATATTGATGGGCTTACTTAACTTTTCACATTGCTGGTTAGGTAGAAACAAAAAATACAGATAAATCTTGTTTCTAAAAATAAGTGATGATATAAAATCAATCCATTCTCATTGTTAAAGATCAAGATTTAAATACCAAGTATTTGCTTTATACTAATTTTTACTGAATATGAGGAAAGTATTTTTATTCTCTCTGTTACATTCACAAATGCTGAGGCATCCATACTTAACTTCCATGTCACCTTGGAAACTCTTTGGAGCAGAGGGAGAAGGAAACCCTCTGTTAGATGATCCAGGCCTTGGTCTTCCACACTCTTGGTGCTCCCTTCTTGCCTAATGTCAGCTCACCAACTTCACAGAAGTAAAATACATGTTGACTTTCTTTGGGGCGGAAAATCAGAACATATTAAAAGTGTGTAGTTGTCTTACTAAGCAGAAATAATGGATCCTGTATTTACTATCTACATATTTATAATTATGGTTTTATTCAACATTTATTCCCAATGCAAATACATAACCAAAGTAAAGTCAAAACAGAGCAGCTAAGACTTGCTGTGGGCCCTTCTAAGATTATATTGTGTAGCTTAAGGTAAGCACATTAGAATGGCTCAGGTCTCAAGCTAGTAATAACTACTGAATTAATGTCTGGTTTGGGCTTTTCAAGTGTTGATGCCGCTGGTTGATGATATTCACGGGCACTTTGAGACTTGGACATTCTTTTTTTCTAAGGAGACAATTTTTTTTCACTTTTTTTTTTTATTATTGCGTAAAGGCCAGTATCATGGATCTGTTTTTTCCTCCCTACCCTTAGTATTAAGCTAGATCCCTCCTTTGTTCTCAAAAGGAGAAATTAAGAGACCAGCCAAAAATAAGCATAAGCTAGAGAGATCGTTAGCCACAAAGAAAACAGATCCCAGCACAGTAATGATTGTGTCAAAATGTCAAACCATACGATTCCAGGGCAGAGCCTCAGCTTCCCTATGATTTTACTGTTAAACAAACAAAAGAAGGAAATCTGTACTTATTGACAAGATAGCATGACTAAATGTAATTCTACCCTTCCTACTCCTTCCCCTCCTTATTTGCTTCTTTTATTCTACATAGCATTTGAGTACCTGCTCCTTGCTTGAGTCAGTAACAAACAGATCAAAGTCCTCTTCTTCAAAGATCATAATGACAAAGAGGAGAACATAGGTATACCACTAGGAACATTTTTTTTTTTTTAGGTTTCACCACTTACCATTAATGAGACCCAGTTTGTTTCCTCATTTGTAAAATTGGAAAAAATATAAATTTTAGGTTGTATTAATGCACTGAAAGTTAGGTAGCACATGTAAAATATTAGTGCAATGGTTAGCACATAGCACATGCTCAAAAAAATCTCTTCTTATCTGTGTGCCCACTTCTAACACTACTGCTGCCCCCATCATGACAGCTTTAGATATTGAAGGAAGAGAATCTATGTAGCAGGGACCTGGCATCCCAGTCTAGTAGATTGTTTCAGAGGTAATATCTAAAGATAGCTCCACTTCTTTGATTGAAGGGAGATTTTATAAAAATCGCAGATCAATTTACTGAAGCAAAAGATATTAATATTCCTTTGTATTTTTACCACTTTTTATGATTCTAGAATACATACAACATAAAATTTACTCCCCTCACCCTTTTTAGGTGTAGAGTTTAATGGTTTTAAGTATATGGATAATGCTTATTCAGCCACCACAACAAACCATCCATAAAACTCTTTCATCTTAGAAATTTGAAGTGTTAAAAACCCTAAAAAGAACTTCCCATTTTTTCCTTCCTTCAGTTCTTGAAAACCATTTTACTTTTTGTCTCAATGATTGTGACAAATGGTAATGTCACAAAATATTTGTCTTTTTGTGTTTGTCTTATTTCAGTGAATAATGTCTTCAAGGTTCATCCATATGGTGGTACACGTCAAGTTTTCTGTCTTTTAATAAGTGAATATTGTTCCGTTCTGTGCATACACCATATATTGCCTGGTTATTCATTTTGTCCGTGGATACTTTGATTGCTTATACATACTAGTTTTATATAATTCTGTGGTGAACCTATGTATACACATAACACCTTGAGACCCCACTTTCAGCTTACTTTGAATATAGGTCCAAAAGTGGAATTGGTGGATAATTACAGTAATTCTGTTCTCATAAAGTTTTGTGAGATTATATTCAAAATGGATGAAATCATTATAGTCTATTCTTATGCATGTGGATGACAGTGGGTCCTTTGTATGAAGAATTATTAGAAGAGTCAGTTTCATCAAGAATGCATCTACTACTTATGTGAGTTAAAATGATTTGAGAAGTCTGTGAGTACCTTAGATAAGATGCATCCAGGCAACCAATGATGATTTTAGGATTATGGACACTATATCTCTTTCTCATGTTTGAATATAGGATGCTTGAATTCAGACTAACTGGCACTGAAATTTCATTTTGTTCTACACTTCATTCCTCACTACAGAATATAGAACTTATGTGTCTTGGGTCCCAGACAGTTCTGACCATGAAGAATCAAAGTTAACATGGGTTATTAATAGAGGTTTATTCCAAAGCAGCATAAACTAAGTGTCATAGGTGAATATTTGTTTCCTCACAGTTTTGGAGTAGGAAATCAAATTTTGTGAACAGCCTTGATCACTTCTCTGTGCTGGGAGGGAGGAAATAATATTCTCTGACCTTCTTTTTGACTTAAGGATGGGCATTTTTTCTATATCTCTTCATAGTGTCTTCCCTCTGTTTATGACTGCCTGGTGTCCAATTTCTCTTTCTATAGAGCACAAATCATATTACCCCTGTGAAGACATTCTTATACCTAAATAATTTCACATATTTTAGTATTAGAAGGTATGACTCAATGTCAGATTCATTTTATATAAACATTCATATGTGTGTGTGTGTGTGTGTGTGTGTGTGTGTGTGTGTTTACCACATACATGTGGATACCTGCAGATAAAAGAAGAGAGTGTCAGATAACCTGGAGCTAGAGTTATAGGTATTTATGATCCACTCAACATGGTTTCAGGGAACTAAACTTTGGTCCCCTTGAAATGCTGTAATCTCTTTTAACTGTTGAGCCATCTCTTTAGCTCCCAACATGATTCTTTTGTTTTTATTGACACACAATTAACTTGGAATTGTTGTATTAATATTTGAGTGACTTGGTATACTTAGGCTACAATGTAGGTCAGTGTTAATTTCCCGCTACAGAA